ATATCCAGCAAACACCATACTGTTATCATTTATCAAGTAGTGTCTAGAACTTCGAGCTGGTAGTTGCTTGACCCAATACATCTGTGTCCATACAGTATACATGTGTATTACCATTGAGCTACTGCCTACTTGATTTTCCATTTATTTAGTGGGTAAACGAGATTTCAGCACCTTCTTACGTTCTTCATAAGTTAATATGGATGGAAGGTTCCAATCGCCTCATGTGTGCGGATACCGGTAGTGCATAACCGCTAGTAATCATATCACTGTTCACACTGCCTGTTTACTCATCTCTGCGATAATACATCACACCCAATACGTGAAAGAACTGCAAGAATGAAAAAGTGTGCATTTCATTATTTCGCTGTTTACCTTTTCATTTCTATGATGTTAAGTCGAACAAAGCATGTCATTATTTCCTGTAATAGAGCCCAAAAATGATGCGCTTAGACACAAGCAGTTGAGATTATTTCAATAGAAGGCCATTGAGAAAAAAATGTTTTTCTGATTTCTACACGTTGCATTGCCAATACACTACATCATCCAGTATGACAAATGGCGTAAATGTATCCGTTCGTTGAAAGCTGACGCAATCTTATTCCGAATTTTTCATGCTTTGGCTACCACAGTTAGCCTAAGATACTTTTGTCCATTCCCTGATATCATTCATCAGGCATCGCGTAATCTTTCGTTCATCTTACCTTTAGATTCTCATAATCCATAACTTCACCGTGCAACTGAGACCCTGAAAGACCCCCAGGAGCAGGAAGTAACCGTAGAAATTCACTCTAACGAAACTGTCTAGATACGCCCCGCTCACTCCGACGAATAAACCCATATTACTGTTTGAAGTACTGGCTTCTGCAACACTATTCACAGTAAGAAAGACTGCAGAATGTCCTGAATAATGCGAAATGTATTTTACACTGAAAGTACTCAAAAACCATTGACGTTCGTAACCAATCCCCTAAGCAACTAGGAGCAAGACGAAAAGCAATAAGCGTGAAATCATGTTGTATAGGAGATTATCCTTGTAAACTAATCCAACTCCTATCCCGGAGGAACATATGAATTCATGAAATGACCTGTATGGATATTAATGAACAGTACTTGCCACAAAATGCTGGTATTTCACGTATACGTAACAGAATATTAATACTTAATAATTTAGTATTACATGTTATAAACCAAAATGGTAACCTGATTTTCAAAAAAGTTTCGCACAGCATGATCCAACTTTTTTGTTTCTAGCAAATATCACAATGCTTGAAGCACTGTAAAGAAATATAAGGAAATGAAAGCATGCTAGACAATTGAAGTGCATTTATCTAACTTCTAAAAGCTGCAGCCAATCTCTAGCCATGTAAAGCCTTTTTCATAGACTGGTATTCTGTTTCCTGTCATTCATCATTCAGAAAGTTTTTGATGCAAGAGTCATTTTACTCTTGCTCCATATTTTCGCTAAAATTATAAATGAAAGGTATTTTGGTATCTGTGTTTATCTTATATAAGTCGATGCCGCAAATTCATTGTCTTGTCGTAATAAATAATTAAATTAAATTCCGACTTTTCCATCCGTCCGTGATTTTCGTTCATGAAATTGAAGAAATTCGTTAAATGGTCGAATTCATAATAAATCATGACTGTAATAAATAAACTATCTTCATACCAAGATTGAATTTTTGACAAATCTCGACCAGAACAGGAGACTATTTACTTATGAAAGCCTTTGGAAAACGAAACTACCTTTCCCTAAGCTGGCCAGACTTATGTCTCACAGAAAATTTGACAAATGCATCAACCGTTGCATGCCCAAGCTGCATTAAAAATTTTCCCACATCACTTGGCTGACTGTGGCTGTACGATCCTTTGAGATCTCATTCGTCTTCTATTTTTTTTCAGAAAAAACGACTCAGAACTCCGTCCATCGTCATTCAAGCAACTGTAGGATAATTTTGATATTGTCACACCCATCCCAAACTGGACATGCATGCCTGGGCTCATAGAGGACCCATCGATCCACAGTCCGCGGATAAAAGCACAAATCATGTTTTTTCCAGCCCCTTAAGACTTGCTTTGGCGCTTTCCTGATGTTGCAACAGACGTCCAATTATCATATCAGTTAAATCATTTGGACCGGTCGGCAATCGGTCATCGAGCGTTAGCGCTCCAAGAACTGCTTGCGACTCTCGATATAACCTGTTCACCGTCTTGGTGGGAGACCAAGGGGAATAATCCGCTCACAAAGACAACAGTCCATATCACCGCTGATCATCTTTCGGCGAGCTACGTATCCAGCCAACTGCAGAGCCTCTTCCGCTTTCGATGGCATCGTCATTCACTCCCATCTGCTCACTGATTACCGTACTGCTAACGTGGTCGCGACATGAAATTCTCAACATTCTTCTTTCCGTGGATCTCTTGGATATAGATAGCAAATGTTCTCGGGCTTAAGTGAGTGACCACATCTCGCTATCATACGATATAGCAGGTAGGACCGAATAATCAGAGCTGGGAGTGGGGATATTTCTTAATGTTGCTTGGTAGAAAGTTCTGTCGAATGGAACGTGCGCCAACCGGCCAACCGTGCGCCAACACTGAGCCTCACTAGCCTGATCCAGCTGCATGCTGATTACGGCCCAGGTAAATCTAGTTATCGACTCCTTCGACTTTTCTACCATTTATGACCTGGGCATTCAACAGGGAATCCCACAACAGTAATTTTGCCTTTCACAGATAAATTCGCAGTTAGACTTCTGCTTCTCTCGAGCTCTTGCAGCTTTTAGATGACTGGCATATTCCGCAAATAACACAGGTCATCAGCCAACCTAGGTGAATCAACTATTCACCGCTGATGTTCATATCATCCTTTCGGTTCATCGTCAGGAACACCACTTCCAAACAGACTGAAGTTCGGGGGAAGGTGGTGTTCCCTTGTTTACGGGAATCCGGATGGGAAGGTGAAGTTTGTGAAGCAACCAGAGTTCGTATTCTTTAGGAAGCTGGTGTAATGAGTGTCGATATCCTGTTCTGCCAGTGTCCTGTTCTGTTTTATACTGCATTACGCTCGACAGTGTCTAACACTTTCTCTAGTCGAAGAAGGCTATGCACAGGAGCTAAAGTTCCTTCGGGGAGTTGATTTAAGATAAAGACGCTATCCACTGTTCTGTAACCCCTTCGGAATCTCGCCTGTTCTCTTGGTTGCCGTTCATCAAAACTTATTGGCATTCATTTAAGTGATCTTAGTAAATAACTCATAGATTTATGAGAACAGGCAAATAGTTCTTCAGATCTTCCTTCTAGCCTTTCTTTAACAACAGGAATGTCTTTACTCCTTCCAGCCTGGCGGAATTTTACCATTTCCAGAGAGCAACTGAACCTTTCCGCTAGAGCTCTATATAGCGACTGAACAGCTGTCATGATTATTTCAATTTTGAGTGTCTCGCCCTGAGGCTTTCCTTCATTTTCTGCGCAGCAGGCCGGACTTCGTTTATGAGGACTTGGGATGCACAACCTTCTACCTGTTGGAGTGATGGCAGGGTGATGAACGCGTCATCCATGCAAAAAGCTGGGTACAAAACTTCTTACAGACTGTATTTCAGCTCTGTAAAAGGTTGATGCGTCATCTCCATTCTTCAACGCCCTGATTGTCCACTGATAGAACGCTTACTCTCTCATACATTGTCTGCCCCCCTCTGTGGCCTTCAGTTGTTCCCTCTAATTTTCTTAATCAGGTGACGAAATCCTCCTTCGAGCTTGCATAGAATACTCCACCTTATCGATTCCATCTCCTTTCACCCTCTTCCACTGCTCTAGCAAACTGCCCTTTCTAAAATCCTTCCTTTCGTTCTCTCTGATGTTACCACCTCGGCTGACTTTACACTTTACTTTGCGCCTGATTTTCTCAGCGATTTTCATTCCCCGTCGTTGCAGCTGCCTTTCAGGCTCCAATCTTCATTGGAA